TCTCTCTCTCTCTCTCTCTCTCTCTCTCTCTCTGTTCAATAAAACAAAAAAATTAACTAATCAAACAATCAAGTATTCAATCAATCAATCAATCAATCAATCAATCAATCAATCAATCAATCAATCAATCAATCAATCAATTAGTGAATCAATGAATGAATCAATCAATCAATCAATCAATCAATCAATCAATCAATAAATAAATAAACAAATCAATCAATCAATCAATCAATCAATCGATCAATCAATCAGTCAATCAATCAATCAATCAATCAATCAATCAATCAATCAATCAATCAATCAATCAATCTATTGATTGATTGGATTAATTGATTTATTGGTTGATTGGTTGATTGATTGATTGATTGATTGATTGATTGATTCGTTGATTGATTGATTGATTGATTGATTGATTGATTGATTGATTGATTGATTGCTAGGTTGATTGATTAATTGATTGTTTGATTGGAGTGTGACTGTGTGTGTGTGTGTGTGTGTTTGTGTGTGTGTTAAGTCACGATACAAAACTGCCGCAACTACATCACGGCATGCTGCGTCAAGAAAACATGCGGGAAGGCAACAATCTGTGGGTGGCAGCCCTCTGCCATGCACTTTTAAACAGCTTGTGAACTAACAAGTGGCAAATGAGATCACAGTTCATGCTGTTTGTGGACGCAGGGAAAGGGGACTGCACACCAACCTTTCGATTATCCAAGCAGGGGGGGAAATAAATGGGAGTAGGGTGCACGGCAGATAGTTTAGTGAGGGTTTTCATTTCAGATCACTGGATAAGAAAGTAGGGGGAGAGAGAGGACGGAACAACCACTCAAAAAGTCATAACATAGAGTCAGGTGCCAGTCCAACCTGGGTTGAATAAGGTGTGAGTAAGTCCCGCTGGGTGATTATGTCGGAGTCCACAAAAATAATACAACAGAGCACTGACAAGTAGTTGTAACGGACGCATTCGTCATTCGATAAAACCACAATCAGAACAAGGCGGCATGTGACCTTTTCCGAGCATTCATTGCAAATCGACACTACTTAAACCCAAACATTCATCAACAGAAAATGATCTAAGAGCTCAATCAAGGCCAAAAGTATAACCAATACCAACAAGAGCAGGATAGTGATTTTAAAAAGGGCCCTCAAATAGGGACAATAGAAAAAAATCCAACACTCGGATCCTCATTTAACCATTCCTCGGCGCCTCTCGTTCCTTCATAAGCATAAGTCAGGGAAGCCGACTTCATATTCCTTTGCGCGCTCATATTAAATTGCGAACTACGTACTGCACAAAGGAGGAATGCCAATAGCACACAGCTACGAGAAAGTCATCACTAGCCCATAGTAAATTGGCGTATATTGCTACCGCTGGTCGAAGTAAGAGCATCGTGACCTCTGAAGACAACGGATTAAACACCGAGAGTGTCGCCTCGAATTTGCGTACTCCATCGTTGATCATGGCAGAAAGGGCTACAGAAGACCGGTACCAACCATATACACATTCAGATTAGCGTCGTGATCATGCTGCTACGACTGCGAACTCACCACCTTGAAGCCAACGCCTCATCGTCTCATCAAAGCACCCCCACTCTCCAGAGTACTGCAGCAGAGTTGTTGATCCTCCCCCATGCTTAGGAATGATAATCGACTACCCACCCAAGCATACAACACGTGCATACACGACACTTAGCCTCGCTATTTGAGGACGAACCACGACCACTCCTCCTTTATTCCCCCAATCGGGCGTGAGTAAACTAGTGATCAACGCAGCGCTCGTGTTCTCCTCCATCGTATTTGCGAAAGCAACAAGTCCCATCCCTGCCCGTCATGAAGCCTTTATTACCATAGTCGTGTATATATCGCTCCTAGTTAACCATACTATATACCCTACGATTATCGCAGCACCCGGGGTATTACAGTAAGGTCCCATCACCTTTGTCATGCTGTCAGCATATCCATCCGGGGTATGGAGGAAGAGGAAGGATAGGGGGGTCTGCCTGAGATGCGAGGGGGACCACTTTCTGAAGGACTGTCCCAGTATGCCTCGCAGGTCTACAGGCAGCTCTAGTTAAAAAAACTAGAGCAGAGGGAGGTGGAAGAAACAGTTCCTTCAACCTGTGCTGATTCATCTTCTGATGAAGGTGAATCTTCACATTCTCTTGATGTTTGTTCTTTGGGAGTTGCAGATGCAGGGTCTTTCATTTATGAAGACTTTGAGTTCGATGAGACGTGGGAGGAGGATGATGCTCAGGCTCTTGCTGATTTGTTCTTGTCCTTGCAGGAGAGGAAGAGTCAGAGGTATGAACTCATCCAACTTCGACCCTCCATCCTTGGAGCCAGGATCAAAGGGCTTCTGGACTGTGGG